GATGTCTACGTGCCGCTGAAGAAGTATGCCTCGGCTCACGAGGTGAACGCCATAAAGATATACCAGTTTTGCGGTCCATTGCACTTCGCGAACGTCGAGTACTTCAAGAAAGGTCTCACATATAGGACCAAGATATCCGTCAAGTATGTGTTGTCCACCAATTGTCTCATTATATTATTTTGCGTATCAAATGTAACCTTAATTTTTTGAATACCTTTTCAGTGAAGTGGTGGAGAAGCGGAGGAAACAGCTGAAGGCGCAGAACCGGAGGAATGACGAGCTGAAGAATACGTCAAAAATTTGCGGCAAATTTCAACGGATGAGGACTTTCTCGCGAGAGTCACCGCAACTGCCGGTCGAGGAGGACCTGCCCACACATATTATCATCGATTGCGGGATGTTTTCGTACATCGACACCACGGGGGTCACGGCCCTCAAGACCACTGTCCAGGAGTACGAGTCCATTGGCATTAAGACATTCCTGGCCTCGTGTGCGGCACATGTGGTGAAAATGCTGGAAAAGGACGGGTTTTATAAGGAGGTGCCCCCACACCACGTCTATATCACTATTCACGACGCCGTACATCACGCTATGGAAGAGCAGAAGGGAGTGTTTGAACAGTTTGTGGCCATCGATGGTATGGGAGGTCAAGAGGTCAACCATAGCGATGAGGCTATCAAACAGGAGCCCCTTGAATACCCCCTGAATATGGATCTGAATCAGGAATAAACGGCTTTTTTCTTAATCATAATCTCATTGAATGACAGCTAGTATTAGATATACTTATTATTCATATTATTTATATTTTGATACAAAAAGTGATTAATATTTTCTGAAATAAGAGTTATTTTTGGAGTGTTTAAGGGACAGAATATTCTGAAATTTAACATTCGGGTCAATGGTTTGCATAACTGATAGGGTTTTGATACTGTTATAAGGAATAGTGAGATGTATTTTCTATAAGTTTTTGTTGGCAACCCTTTGATCAAAAAAATTACAATTTAATAATTATTCTATTATATTTAAAATTCACATCGATATAAGCATATTATAATTTTTTATAATTTGATATAAATTATATATATTTTCTATTTGTTAATAAACACACAATTATATAATATAACTTTTACTAACATGTTTTCTTATGGTAATTATCACTCATTTATTATATGATACTGTATAATACATAAAACTGTGATTTATTCTCATTTATTGGTTTTGAAAACCAAATGAAAATCTATACATTATATAATAAAAAAAATTCAAATCATATATTTGTCACAAATTTGACTCAAAATCAATTGCATTAATCGTATTATATGTTAATTTCGGTAAATATAAAATGTCGAGTAGCTAGTTATGTTAAACCTAATGAAAATAATTTTAATTAAAGTGTATTTTTAACTAATTTCATCATCTCTATACAGGTATGATACATATAATACAACTGGATTTAAGGCATATGTTTAAAATTGAAAATACAGTATATGTAGCATTAATGTAAAAGAATGTATATTTTTAAAGTTGCAAATCAAGTCCATCGCTATATTATATCAGCTTTTGAGTAGCGTGACCAGGGTCAAGTATTCCGCCTTGACCTTCAAGTATTTTAGAGTCCGGTCAAGGATCAAGGGAAGGGTAAATACTTGACATTATAAGGTCAAGTATTTGCAAAATTGATATGATATGATATAAGAACACTGTCATAATAGAATACAGAGTTGGCTAACTGGCAATCGGGATTTTTTGATTGTATGTGAACGTCCATTCAATGTTGAGTCAGAATATGTAATTTATATTGTACTGTGACCTCTGGTTCGGCCGCAGTTACCACATTTATCGGGAAATATTTTATATAAAATGTCAACATATGATATATCAATTTTATAGAGAATTTTACGTAGAATACGATGATATTAATTAAATTAATAAATAACGTCATTTTAACCCAACAATTGTTTATATAATATAACTTTTACTAACATGTTTTCTTATGGTAATTATCACTCATTTATTATATGATACTGTATAATACATAAAACTGTGATTTATTCTCATTTATTGGTTTTGAAAACCAAATGAAAATCTCTATACATTATATAATAATAAAAATTCAAATCATATATTTGTCACAAATTTGACTCATAATAAATTGCATTAATCGTATTATATGTTAATTTCGGTAAATATAAAATTTCGAATAGCTCGTTATGTTAGACCTAATGAAAATAGTTTTAATTAAAGTGTATTTTTAACTAATTTCATCATCTCTATACAGGTATTATAATACATAAAATACAACTCGATTTAAGGCATATGTTTCAAATTGAAAATACAGTATATGTAGCATTAATGTAAAAGAATGTATATTTTTAAAGTTGCAAATCAAGTCCATCGCTATATTATATCTAGGGTGGATGCACATACATTGGATATATAATACGTGTGTATTATTCTATGTATTATAAATGTAGAATACATGAGCCCTTTTACCGTACATACATGAAATCCCGCCCATATTGAGAAAACAGTTAATTTTCTAATTATTTTCAATATTATTCAAATATAAATATTGTAAATATTGTTTGAAAATAAAAATTATTTTAATTAATTTTATTTGATTAAAAATTAGTAAAAGTTAATCAAAATCATGTGTTTATGGAAACTTTCCCAAAATGGATGACAAGAGTTCTTTAAATCTTTAAAACAAAAATATCAAAAACTGAGCTGGATTAAAAATTAAACTTGGTAAACATTTCAGAAGTTTATTCTTGATTAGTTTTATATTCAATTTAGTGATAAAATTAGAGTAACAATTTAATAAGTGTGATATAAATTAATATTTACTATTATTTATGCCTATTTGTAAAAATACATGAATAATACACGATATACATGGTATAATACATGTATAATACATGAAGGAAAAATATCATGTATTATATCCACCCTAATTATATCAGCTTTTGAGTTTAAATATCTAAATCCATATCTAAACCACCTTCAAGAGTTAAACACTTTTCCTATCGATTCACGACTTTATTGAATGAAAATTTTTGTATGTTTTCTCTCCTGAAGAAGATCTGGTATTCAAAAACTTATCAAAAGTATTACACAATGTTTTGAATAAACTTGTTTTGCCACTAAAAAACTAATTCAATACTGTATTTTGATTTTAATGAACACTTATTTTTTTGTTGAGTATTTGTTTTCATAAAAGTTATACTTTTATTGAAGTTTATGAATGTATTCGTTAATAAAAAGTTCGTTTTTAATGGGTTCAAAGTTATTGTGACGCCACAGGATTGTCCCCTTAATTTAATGATTTAAATGTACAGTCAGATTTGACTCGTAGAGACTAGCAGTGATACACCGGAAAAATATGAAAATAACCAAAACCCCGATTAATTACAACATTGCAAAGTGCGCTTATATTCTGGGTCCAAAGTTATTGTGACGCCACAGGATTGTGCCCTTAATTTTATGATTTAAATGTACAGTCAGATTTGACTCGTAGAGACTAACAGTGATACACCAGAAAAATACATAAATAACAAAAATAAAACCGATAAATTACAACATTGCAAAGTGCGCTTATATTCTGGGTCCAAAGTTATTGTGACGCCACAGGATTGTCCCCTTAATTTAATGATTGAAATGTACAGTCAGATTTGACTCGTAGAGACTAGCAGTGATACACCGGAAAAATATTAAAATAACCAAAAACCCCGATTAATTACAAAATTGCAAAATGCGCTTATATTCTGGGTCCAAAGTTATTGTGACGCCACAGGATTGTCCCCTTAATTTAATGATTTAAATGTACAGTCAGATTTGACTCGTAGAGACTAACAGTGATACACCGGAAAAATATGAAAATAACCAAAAACCCCGATTAATTACAACATTGCAAAGTGCGCTTATATTCTGGGTCCAAAGTTATTGTGACGCCACAGGATTGTGCCCTTAATTTTATGATTTAAATGTACAGTCAGATTTGACTCGTAGAGACTAACAGTGATACACCGGAAAAATACATAAATAACCAAAATAAAACCGATTAATTACAACATTGCAAAATGCGCTTATATTCTGGGTCCAAAGTTATTGTGACGCCACAGGATTGTCCCCTTAATTTAATGATTTAAATGTACAGTCAGATTTGACTCGTAGAGACTAGCAGTGATATACCGGAAAAATATGAAAATAACCAAAAACCCCGATTAATTACAAAATTGCAAAATGCGCTTATATTCTGGGTCCAAAGTTATTGTGACGCCACAGGATTGTGCCCTTAATTTAATGATTTAAATGTACAGTCAGATTTGACTCGTAGAGACTAACAGTGATACACCGGAAAAATACATAAATAACCAAAATAAAACCGATTACTATACCCGAGCATTATTCATATATTATTATATATTTTATTATATACCTGGATTATATATACTATTAGTTATAAATTATAATTAAATTCAGTTCAACAATAAGAAATATAATGAGATTAAATGTTTAATTCATAATAATGTTATTGTAATTATTGGTATTTATACTGTACTTTAATTAGTATTACTTACGATTAAATAACTCATTTCTAATCATTATTATTGAATATTGAGTTCAAAAACAGTTTTTGACAAAACAGTTGAGAAATCAAATTAAAACCATTTCTCTGACAAAAACATAATTCATTTGAAGCAGTGTTTTGTAGTTGAATAGCGATTATATCTCTTAATTACTGATTATATTGTGTTTTCTGTAAATCATAATAAATTTGGTGTCAAATAAATATTTCGACAAACCTTTTGAATAAGACATCCGCCGATAGGATGTGCCTCTGGAGCGGGTGTTTCGGTGACTGTTGTGGACTCTTATCGTCCGGTGAATACCCTCTGGAAAAGAATTGCCTACAAAAAGGCCAGACGTCTAAGAAAACGGCTTTCGGGAGATCTATTAACTCGAGAATTCAGACAATGTTTATGACGGCAGAGGAGCAGAAGGTTCTTAAGCTGCAAATCGTGGGCCAAATGGGAACGGTATTCGACCGACCATTCAATCATTTCACACAAATCACGGACACCTTATACCTGACCAGTTATGGCGGCATAACCGCCGATAATATGAGTAAACACGACATGAAATGCATGATCAGCGCCACTCACGAGACGCCGGTATATCAGGTCGAGGGCATAGAGTTCATCAGAATTCCGGTCAGAATTTGTGTGCAATTCTTGTGTCCAAAAAACACTAACTTTTAACTCATTTTAAAAACTATTTTCTCACCAATAGATTGAAGACTCGCACAAAGAAAATATTATAAAATATTTCGACGAGATTTGCGTCAAAGTAAGCGAATTGATGGCAAAGAATGTGCGGACAGTTATCCACTGCTGGGCCGGTAAGTGCCGGTCGGCCACTATAATGATCGGTAGGTTTTGCTCGTATATTAAACTTGTTTTTCAGGACTTACTAGTAATTCATTGACTATTTTACAGCCATATTAATGAAGAGCCAGAATATGCCGCTGACAGAGGCCTACAAAACCGTTTGGACTAAACGGCCGTTCATTCACATCAATAAGGGATTCCTATATCAGCTCTATATCTATGAAAAGGATGTGTTCGGCAAGAATTGGACACATTTTAAGACAATTAAAGCCCAAAATAATGTTCAAATCTCGTCGATGAAAAGGATGTGTTCGGCAAGAATTGGACAGATTTTAAGACAATTAAAGCCCAAAATAATGTTCAAATCTCGTCGAAAGAGGTCCTCAAGATATGCCAGGAATCCAGATTCGGCTCATAATAGACTCATTCGTGTAATGAATTTCAATTTATGCCAATATTATACATAATAATTATATTTAGCACTCATTTAATGACAATATTAACACTTTATCTGAAAATAAATTGATTGAATTTACACAAGAATTGTTATAAAATTATGATTTAGTATTTATTATTTTTGGATTTATTATAGTAAGTGAGCAATGATATAAAATATAATAAACTTATTATGTAAGTTATGCATGTAAACTTATTATTATTATTATGTATGTAAATATGTGAATAATCTTGTAATTATGTAAAATATTTTTCGTAAATAATCCAGTAAATAATTTAAGGAAGTTATAGTTGTACAGTATTAAATGTGATTTACAAAAACAAACCGGCACAAATAAATCAGTTATTTACATTTGCATTACCATTTAATACTTATTTATTTGGTTAAGATTATGTAATGATTAAAGCTTTGATAATAAATATTACACAAAATGACTGCAATTAATGAATAAAACGAAA